TAATCCCAGCAGATTAGGATTGCAAATTCAAAAACCAGCCTCAGAAATTTAGGGAGGCCCTAAACAACTTGGTGAAACCCCATCTCAAGATTAAAAATAAAATAAAAAAGGGCCAGGGATGTGGCTCAGTGTTTAAGGGCCCATGGGTTCAATGCCCAGTATAAATAAATAGATTAAATGTTCTCTGTCATATGCAGAAGATAGATAAATTTAAAAGGGAGGGGATTCTCACAAAAATAGAAGACCAATAGGGTACAGGAAAGGGAGATGGAGAGAGAGGGAAGTGGAGAGGACATGGGGAATTATTGAGGAACAAAATCTACCAAATTATATGTCTAGGTATGAATGCACCACAGTGAGTCCTGCTTACATGTATAAAGAAAATGCATTACTTAATTAAAATAACAATAAAAATAATAATAGAAGGGAGATCAGTAGAGCAGAGCAAGTAAATGAGGGGAAAGGAGGAGGGAAGGGCAAGGGAAGGAGACTTAGCAAGTGTTATGTGTATATATGAATATGGCATAATGAATCCCACTATTATGTACAATCATAATGCACCAATAAAAAAAAGCTGAACGTAAAACATATTTTAAAAAATTAAATTAAAATGTCAAAAAGAAAGAAAGGGAAAACAAAATGATGTTTCAGAGGCAAACGGGCGTCTGACACCAGAATCATCAGCCAAGAGCCCCTTTTGGTGGGAAAAGAGCGGAGGCGGCTCTACCGCCCCCATGCACACGGGACCGGCGGTGGGCGCGCGTCTGCCCCAGCTGCAGGCGGGGCGTCTGCGCAGTTGTCGGGTGGGGCGGTGCCTGTCCTTGACTGCCTCCCTGGGACCTGCCCGGCGTCCCCGGGACACGCAGGGCGAGTCCAACACGCTGTTTTCCTCATTATTTCCTTAAGCTTGCATATTTTTAATCGTACCTCTCAAAATCCAAGCCCATAGTCTTCCTCCTCTCCACCAGCGTCCAATTCTGCATTCCTGAATAAGGCCACACAGATTCGAATATCATTCTGACAGATAACTACATATATTTCAGAAACCACAACTCAAAGATGGCCTAACAGATTATACATTTTGGAGTCATTTATTGCACTTTCTACTTAAGAACACGAATACTTTCCTCTCTGTTTTTTTTTTTTTCCATTTCAGAGATCATATGAAAAGAACCATGAATTACACGGAATGAAATTACAATACATAAATGAGACCTAGATTCTTACTTTATAGTGACTATAATAACTGTGAACGTATAGGAAAATTTCAAGGTCCACTGGATTCTTTCATTTCCTTTTCATTTTTTCAATACAAAAAAAAAGAATAACCAAATAGTTCTTTTTAAGTAATTTTGAAAAATTATTATTTGATCCCAAAGAATAGAATTCACACCTTTTGTTTTCTGCTCTTTTAAGTTCTTCCATAACCTGACAAATTGGTAAGAAAAGATCCAAAACATATTTCTGGCCTTTACTCTTGGTTCTCTGTGCTATTTTCATGGAAATGAGGTGAATTCCTTCTTAATAGTGGTGTTTAACCTGGATTCTGTGAATYCAATGTTTTTTTTCTTTTTGGGGGGGGCGGGGAGGGTGTTTGGGATCTTTGATAGAGTGGGATACACATGGGAACTGAGTCTGAGCCTCTTTGACTTGTGTGTTAAATTTGAAGGGATGCTTTCTTGTGTTGGATGAAAGGTAAAAGATTACTCTCCTAGTTTACCATCAGCTCTGGGCAGAATAATTATTTGAGGCCTGACATTTAATACAACAGTGATCACAGATATTGCCACTGAAAGCTTTATGGACAAAGCAGGAACCAAAGAACCTTACACCAGTTTCTAAATTTAATTCACAAAAGTGAGGGACAGAGCTGGGAGATGAGGGTAAACTATCAAGTGTTTCTTCAACACAAGGGAAAGAACAGTAGAGCAAAGAGAACCATCCATATGTAGTAAGTATGAGCTTACAGGGCACATGGAATGTCCAAATGCAATGGAAGAGTCTGGCTGTGAAGAATTAGGTATGTTATTTTACCCAACCCTGTGGGACCTCATCTCATGGGAATAAAGTCTGTGCTGAAACCACTGAGCAAGGAATAGACTGGGATGAAAGGAAAGGTAAGACAAAATTCCTTTTGTATATTACCTGTGCATTTGGTTCTCCCTCTCAGTTGCCTTACCCCAACAGATCTTTTTTATAATATACTCTAATAGAATTGGGGGATATGATTTATCATGTATAGCAGTTGTCATTTCCATACACTTGTCTTTACTGCTTTTATTAGTGATGCTTATACAAAAATATTATTAATTACTTCAGTGAACTCATTATCTTGTTTTTGAATTTGTTTTGACAACCACAAAGGGATGTTGCTAGGGCTCTGTTTCAAATCAACACAATTGTTAAAGTTTCAAATACCTATTTCCACAAGCAACTAGGGAATTTTCATTTAAAAATTCTAAATTATCATTCATTAAAGAGCATTCTTATCATGACATCAGTATGCTGGATATGGTTTCCACTTTCTCCAGTACACTGAGAAGGCTGTGAGCTTCTCAAGGTCAGAGTCACCCCCTCTCCTTTTTGGTTTCCCATGTCCTAGTACACTGGTAGGCCTACAGGATGTGCTCTGAGGTTGTTTGCTAAATAGATGAAAGGCTTCTGATTCAGCTTAATTCATTTTTGTTATAAGCAGTGGGCACTGGTGATAAATCGTGGAGCACAACTAAAAAGAAAGCATTTAAAATTTCAGCTCTACTATAGAGATTGTGGGAGGAAAGGGAAGTCCTATCTGGAAAAAGAAAACTTGTCTTGGAAAAAAAAAAAAAAACATATATAAGAGAACTAAAGTCTACAGTGAAAAAATGAGATACTGGGTTTGATTTAATGTGTCATCCTTGTCCGCAGTAATATTTTCTTTTATTTTTCTTTTCTGTCCTAGGGATCGAATTAGGGCCTTATGCATGCTAAGCTCTTGCTTTACCACTGAGCTACACTTCCAACCCAGGAAGTTAATTTATCATGCTGATTTTCAAAAACAAGCAAATATAATTGTTTGTTTAGGTTACCTTAAAATAATTTGCTATCAATTATACATAAGTAGATAATTTTATGTTGAATTAATTTTATAATAAATTAATTCAGGGCATTATTCTATGTATGATAATTAGCCAAATTTTTTCCTTGGTTATGACAGATAGCCTGAGGTACCACATTGGGTACTAATGTAAATCTGTTGGAGTCTTTGACAAACAAAGAAGCTGTCAACTTGTAGAGCTAGAAGGAATCTTGGAAATTATGCYACAACACCTTTAATTCATCAAAGAAGGAACCGAGACAGTGCTGAGAGGTAATGCACTAAAACGAACAGATAATTAGAGAGTTCTGCCCAAAACTCTAGCTTTTGCCAGTGTTCTGGCCCCAGTTTCTTAGGACTCCCTTCAGTGGGGCAGAGACTACATTAACCACCCTTTCATTATCTCATTTGGCTTTCTTTTTTTTCCAAAGCTTTTTAAATACAAGTTTTAGGGGCTGCGGCTGGGACTCAATGGTAGAGCGCTTGCCTAGAATGTGTGAGGCACTGGGTTTGATCCCCAGCACCACATAAAAATTAAACTAAATAAACACAAGTTTTAGGACTGGGAATGTAGCTCAGTGGTAGAATGCTTATTTAGCATGCCCAAGACCTTGGGTTCCATCCCCAGCACACTTTAGAGAATTTCTAATTAATAATAATGACAGTMAAGAACTATAGAATGCCATTCAGTTTGTAAAATAATTACATAGTATAAGCAAAATGATGGTCTTTATTGTAAAAGAAATTTCTTTTTTTTTCCAGGTTCATAATTTATTGTACAAATTGACTATTACTTGATCAGTTGACATTTGCTTCTCCAGGGATGGGAACTTAACAGATGAGGTCACATAGATTAGAATCCATGTATGTTGCTTTCACAGCTGGAGATTTTTAGACCTTAGCTTGAAGCACAAGACAGCCAAAGCAATGCCTCCATATGTAGCCAGTATATAATTCATTCTACCAGTGAGCATGTATGAGTTGAGAATTTTGATGCATTCCGCTGTCATTTATTTATTTTTTAAAAATTAATTTWAAAATGTTTAAATATTTTTGTMGTTATAGGTGGACACAATACCTTTATTTCATTTATTTATTTTTATGTGGTGCTGAAGATCAAACCCAGTGCCCCATATGTGTGAGGCAAGCACTTTGCCGCTGAGCCACAATCCCAGCCCCAGTTTAAAAAAAAAAAAAAATACCAGTGAACTAGAATTGGACATCAGTTTCTGGATCTGCCATGATTTCAGTGTTGCCAAGGCCACAATTTGACAGTTGATATCCTTCAATGTACACAGCTACCTCCTGGGCCACAAAGAAGAAGCTACCAGAAATTTCATATTTTGAGGCATATATATTAAGAAAAATGTAAAAGAGGTTTTGTCAAAAAATTTCAAATCAGTTATTTTTGAGTTTGAGTCACATGCACCAACATAAATGATCAAACTCTAAGGTAAGAGTAGGATATTCCTAAAGGTTGTAAATAAATAATTTCAAACTTGGCTTCAGGGTATAGCTCAGTGGTAAAGTGCTTGCCTAACATATGCAAGACCCAGAGTCCCATCCCCCAAATAGAAAAAAAAAAAAAACTTAAAACATTTCTCCTTAAAAATATTCTTGAGCCCTTCAAATATATAACAGATAAATGTGGAGCTACTCTCTCCATGAAGTTGAAGAAAGTCCAGGAAGCTCAGCCTCTTTTCTTTTTCCTGGAGGTTGGATGGCAAAGTTGAGAAAAACCAGTGACTTAAAGGGATTCCTAGAAATGGCCAGAACCACATCTAGATGAAGATAGTGAATGAGTTGTGGCCCATCTATTGCATCAACCAATTTAATCACTATAGCATGATGAATTTAGCTGTCACTCTGTGATGATAAGTTCAAATACACTCATATCTTTCTCTCTCTCTCTTTTTTTTTTTTTTTGAAAGCTCCATGTATTTTACTTGTTTTTTTATTCTCTGTGCCAGGGTTTTACTTTAATTTTGCTTTTCATTTATTTTTTATTATTTATTTATTTTGAGACAGAGTCTCTCCATGTTATTCAGGCTGGCCTCAAACTTTTGGGCTCAAGCAATCCTCCTGCATTAGCCTCAACCTCCAAACTTGCTGGGACCCACAGGTGCACAACACCAGCAAAACATGTATCCCAGAGTAAGAACTATTCTGTTGAACTTTTTTTTTTTTTGGTGCCTTGTGCATCCTAAACACATACTCTCCTGCTGAACTACACCCTAAACCCAATGTGGAAAAGTTTTAAACTGCAACTGAAAGGTGCTTAAGAATCATCTAGGGAATTCAGTGAAAGTACAGCTTCCCAGTCTCTATTCTGTCGCTTATTTTTCAGAAGCCAATCCATCTGTACTTCTAACAAGTGCCTTGAATGAATTGTGGACCTGTCTTTAAGAAACACTACTCTGGAGCATCTCACAAAATGCCTTACATGTGTTACTTGTGGATAAAAAATATTTTTTGGTTTTAATTTTTGCCATATTATTAAAAAAAGGACTTCACATTTTCAGATCCTAATGATTGTGCAAATTATGACAATACTAATTGACAATCCAATTAATATATATTAAATTGATTTGGGTCTATAGGCTTTTGGCTAAAATGAGATATGTGGGATCTTATGGAAACACCTTGATTTAAGCAGGAATTCTAACAAGTAATAAATTGGAAAACCATTAGAAGAAAAATAGAACAAACATTTCTTGTCATAGATTTTTCCACTTGAAATCAACAACTAACATGGCACTTTGTGGTAAACCCTGTAGACCTTCATTTGAAAATCTAAAACAGAAATGTCAAGTGTTCCCCAATCACTACCATTATTCAGTGTCATTCCTATAGTTTTAGTCAATGTAAAGAGATGATGATAGGGCTAGGGTTGTGACTCAGTGGTGGAGCACTTGCTAGGCAAGCATGAGACACTGGGTTCAATCCCCAGCACCACAACAAACAAACAAACAAACAAACAAAACCCAACAAAACATAGCCCAAGAAAAAAATTGGTGCACGTGTATAATTCCAGAGGCKTGGGGGAGGCTGAAGCAGGAGGATGGAGAGTTCAAAGTCAGCCTCAGCGAAAGTGAGGTGCTAAGCAACTCAAGGAGACCCTGTCTCTAAATAAAAAACAAAATAGGGCTGAGGATGTGGTTCAGTGGCCGAGTGCCCCTGAATTCAATCCAGGGTATCCCCCTCCTGCAAAAAAGATTAAGATAATTCATAAAGCACCTGGTTATAAAAATCAATATTAAAATATAGGGTTGGAAATGTAGCTCAGTGGTAGAGCACTTGCAGAGCATGTGCARCATCCTGGGTTCAATCACTAGCATGGCAAAACAAATAAATAAATTTAAAATAAATAACTAATACGAGGATGTAGGGGAAAAGGAATACTCATACATTGCTGGTGGGACTGCAAATTGGTGCAGCCAATGTGGAAAGCAGTATAAAGATTCCTTGGAAAACTGGGAATGGAATCGCCTTGGTTTATACCCAAAGGACTTAAAAACATCCTACTACAGTGATGCAGCCACATCAATGTTTATTGCCACATAATCACATTAGCTAAATTTGGAACCAACCTAGATAACCTTCAGTAGATGAATGGGTAAAGAAAGTGTGGTATATACACAATGGAATATTACTCAGCATTAAAAAAGAATAAAATCATGGCATTGGCAGGTAAATAGATGGAGTTGGAGAATATAATGCTAAGTGAAGTAAGCCAATCCCAAAAAACCAAATGCCAAATGTTTTCTTTTATAAAAGGATGTTGATTCATAATGGGGATGGGGGGGCAGCATGGGAGGAATGGAGGAACTTTAGATAGGGCAAAGGGGAGGGAGGGGGAGGTAGGAAGCATGGGGGAAGGAAATATGGTGGAATGAGATGGACATCATTACCCTAAGTGAATGTATAAAACCACGAATGGTATGACTCTACTTTGTGTACATCCAAAGATATGAAAAATTGTGTTCTATTTATGTAATATGGATTGAATTGCATTCTGCTGACATAGATAACAAATTAGAATAAATAAAATTTAAAAAAAATTTTAAAATAAATAATAGATTTCCTATAAATCAGTTCCAAAATGTGATTTWAAAATGTTCAAACAGTACAAAGTGAGAAATGTAAAGAAACTTTAGGAAGAAAAGTAAAAATTTCTCCCAAAGTACACTAAAGATTTGAATAAATGGAGAGGCATGCCCTGTTCCCAGGAGGAAAGATTTAATACTAAATCACTGTCAATCTCTCTCCAAATTAATTAACTCACTTAAGTCAATTTCAACAAGAAATTCAAAAGTTTTTCTCTTTATTTTTCTTTTTCTTTTTCTTTTTTTTTTTTTTGTTATCAGGGATTGAACTCAGGGGGACTCAACCACTGAGTCACACCCCCAGCACTATTTTATATTTCATTTAGAGACAGGGTCTGACTGAGTTGCTAAGTTCCTCACCATTGCCAAGGATGGCTTTGAACTCCTGATCCTCCTATCTCAGACTCCCGAGCCGCTGGGATTACAGGCATGCGCCACCACACCAAGCTCCAAAAATATCTGGTTAGAAATTAGCAAAGCAACTCCCGAATTATTCTGGGAGAGTAAATACATGACAATATCCAGATGGAATATCCAGAGGTGTAAAAAAAAWAAATAAATGTAAGCAAAAGGGCTGGGGATGTGGCTCAGTGGTTAACTTTTGAGTCAAGGTCTCACTAAATTGCTTAGGGCCTCACTAAATTGCTGAGGTTGGCTTTGAATTCTAGATCCTCCTGTGTCAGCCTCTCAAGCTGTTAGGATTACAGGCATGTGCCCCTACACCATGCCTCATCTCTATTTCTTTCATGGTAGTGTTGCCAAAAGCTCGGTCCTTCTCCCCAGTGCCAATCCAATAATGAGAACTCAGTATTGAGTAAAAGGAAAAAGAAGGTGTATTGCTTTGCTAAAAAAGGAGAAACATGGGGGATTCCTGTTCCAAAGGCTGTGATTCTGCCCATCTGCAAGAACAGGTGGGGCTTTTATAGAGGTGATTCTGAGAAAATGAGATTAGAAGAGGAGAGATCATGAAGGAGAAGATCAGGGAAAAGATCAGGTAGAAGTTTAGGGAAAAGAATATTGGGAAAAAGAAAGAAACATGTAAGGTTCAAAGCCACTAGGAATATAGTCAAAGCATCAAGCAAAGCCCTGTTACAGTAGTTGCATATATCCTACTTGCAAGGTATTTTTCTGGATCTCTGCAGATCCACCACACTTCCTTCACATTCTCCATGATCCAGAATAACATAGCTTTCCCATCAGAAGTTATTCTTGTAAGAATTAAATTTAGTCACTTCAAACCTTTCACTGGTTTTAATGTTTATCATGAAATCAAACTCATTGAAAAATCCTAATTTCTCTTTCTTTGAAGAATTTGGTATTCATCCAAAAAATGATATATCATCCTATGATAATTTTGAAAATAGCATGGTATTACTAAAAGCACTAAATAGTCATGGCAAACTTGAATTAAGTGTCAGTTTGTATGAATTTTAATAATGATAATAAAAGGTTCACTGTACACCAGCCAGTGTTCTTCGGGCACTATATATGCATTTTCTCAGATAATCTCAACAATTCTATTCCTCAGTTACATTTGTCATCCTCATATTACAGATCCAGAAATTGAGGGACAGTGAAGCAAAAATAACTTGCCTACAATAAAAAAGCAAACAAACAAGAACAACATAGCAAAAATAAATCTTAAATGACTGAGCTGGCATACACTTTTCTCCTATGCAGATTATAACTGGAATAGTTGATAGCAACTATAGTGCACATTTGAGGCAGCAAATTACAGATTGCATAGTTTCTTCAGACCTGTTATTCACCCAAAGTACTTACTAACCTTGCAGTTTAAAAACCTGTTATTGAAAATTAAGATCCTATTCAATCTGAAAAATATATTTACAGATTATGTGACACAGAGGTCACCACCCAGAAGTATGCTAATTTCCCCAAATTGCCTTTCAAGTWTTAGAAGAGCTTCACATGAATATAAAAGTTTGTCAGAGCCAGGTGCAGTGAAGCACACCTGTAATCCCAGTGGCTCRGGAGGCTAAGACAGGAGGATTGAGAATTCAAAGTCATCCTCAGCAAAAGCGAGGTGCTAAGTAATTTGGTGAGACCCTGTCTCTAAATAAAACATAAAATAAAGCTGGGGGTGTGGCTCAGTGGTTGAGTGCCCCTGAGTTCAAGAGCCCGAGACAGAAGGATCTTAAGTTCAAGGCCAGCCTAGACAACTTAGTGAGACCCTTTCTCAAAATGAAAAAAAAATAATAAAATTAATTTAAAGGGGGTGGGGATGTTGCTCTGGTAGAGCAACCCTAGGTTCAATTCTCAATACTGGAGGTGGGGTGGGGTGAAGCTTGTCGGACTCATTTTCTCTCCTAGAGAATGACCTATCTTTTATATTTTTCCAAATAATTCACAGTGGATGCCTCTGTTCCCACCTCATGCAAGAGATTGCTTTTTAGTCTTCCTGCCTAGCCATCATATTGGATTTCTGTGCAGATGCTGCTGTTGTGATTCTTCAACCAAGCAATCAAACAAGGTATGTATGTATGTATGTATGTATTTATTTATTTTTTCCAGGATTGAATCCAGGGTGTTTAACCACTGAGCCACATCCCTAGTCCCTTTTTATTTTTTSAGAGTCTCATTAGTTACCTAGAACTTCTTTAAATTGCTGAGGCTGGCCTCARACTTGTGATCCTCCTGTCTTAGCCTCCTGAGTCGCTGGGATTACAGGCATTTACTACCAAGCCTGGCAGCATTTTCCTATTTATTAAATGTGTCTCCTATATAGTTGCAGCTCAGTATTACTTTCCTGCATGGAGGGTTGGCTAAAGGAATGAAAGGATGAATAAACAACCTCATTTTTCATTGTGTACATGTTATTTATCATATTATTTCAAGCAGAGGGTGAATTATTAGAATGCACAAGAAAAATGGTCTCTGATTGCAAATAAACTGTCTTAATTAGGAGACCATAATAGAAAATGTAGTATTAGGTAGTGTTGGAAGTGTGAGCATATTAAGAAAAGAGAAAGCATAAAGTTGTATAAATATCAATGTATGTGCACCTGTGAATTCTGGTATTTGATAACACCTGTTCCTTGCGTTGGTCTTGCTCTTCACCCACTCTCACCTCAGCTTGGTTATAAGAATCTTGTCCCTCTAGACTTATTATGCTGATTCTGATTGATGGTGACTGCTATAGTTTGGGTGGTGAATTTACTTCAAAGATCCATATGTCCTCATGTGAATTGGAAAGTTGTGGAACCTTTAAGAGGTGGAGCCTGGCGGGAGGTCTTTAGGGCATTGGACACATGACCTCAAAGTGAACTGTGAAACCCTGGCCCCTTCCTCTTTCTCTTTTTGCTCTCCAGTGCATATTGTGAATGATTTTGTTCTTCCACCGGCTCTCACCATGATGTGCTGCCCCACCATAGGCCAAAAACTACAGAGCCAATCAGTCATGGACTGGAACTCCAAAACTGTGAGCTGAAATACAATTTTCCTTTTTATAAATTCCTTACCTCAGATATTTCTTTTTTTTTWAAATATTTATTTATTTATTAGTTATTGGCGGACACAACATCTTTGTTTGTATGTGGTGCTGGAGGATCGAACCCGGGCCGCAAGCATGCCAGGCGAGCTCGCTACCGCTTGAGCCACATCCCCAGCCCTCAGATATTTCATTACAGTGATGGAAGATGACTAATATAACCACCTCCCCCTACTTTAGATATCCAGAAGATCATTTAGTTCATAACAGCATAAAATAATTCYAAATGGATAATCACAGGTTTTGCCCATCTGAGCAAAATGAAGATCCTGGCAGTAATTTTTCTTAATACACTTCCTGGAAAGGTTCTTTGAGTAAATGAGAAAAATGGCAACTGGAAGGCTGACCTCCTTCCATACATTGTATATGAATGTAGTCTTCCTTAATATTTCTTGTGAATGTACTAAATGCCACTGAATGCTACTGACCTGTACCATTAAAACTGGTTAATTTTACATCAAGTGAATTTTTTTTTAATATATCAGTACATTATTTTTATTTGTTTATTTTTTTATGTGGTGCTGAGGATCTAACCCAGGGCCTCACATGTGCAAGKCAAGCACTCTGCCACTGAGCCACAATTCTAGCCTTTACATCAAGTGAATTTCACCTCAATAAAAAATAATTCACATAATTAGGCATGATGGTACATGCCTGTAATCCCAGTGACTCAAGAGGCTGAGGCAGGAGGATTGAAGTTTGAGGCCAGCTTTGGCAACTCAGTGAGACCCTATCTCAAGATTAAAAATACAAAGGGTTATGACTGTAGCTTAGTAGTAGAGTGCCACTGGGCTCAATCCTCAGTATTCCCCCCAAAGATATTTACATAACAAAATTCACAATTTTAAGTGCTTTTAAAATGCATATTCACAATGTTGGGCAAGCATCACTGTTAATTCCAGAACATTCTCATCACCCATCTCTAAACTCCATATCTATTAAAAGCAGCCACTTCTCTTTCTCCCCTTCTTCTACTCTGTGTCAACTACTAATTCATTTCTGTCTTTGCAGATTTGCGTCTTTTGGATATTTCATATAAAAGAAATCACAATATGTGGACTTTTATATCTGGCTTCTTTCACTGAGCACAATGATTCCAGGGTCTACTCCTGTTATAGCATATACGAATCCCTTATTCCTATTTATGGTTAAATAATATTCCATTTTTCCAAATACTACCCTTTTTATCTGTCCATTAGTCAGTGAACATTAGAGTTGTTTCTGCTTTTTGACTTTTATTTTTTTTTTTTAGAGAGAATTTTTTAATATTTATTTTTCAGTACTTGGCGGACACAACATCTATGTTTGTATGTGGTGCTGAGGATCGAACCCGGGCCGCACGCATGCCAGGCGAGCGCGCTACCGCTTGAGCCACATCCCCAGCCCCTGACTTTTATGTATAATGCTGGTATAAATATTTGTGTACAAATTTTTGTGTATGTTTTCAATTCTCTGTATGTGGTGCTGAGGATCGAACCCGGGCCGCACGCATGCCAGGCGAGCGCGCTACCGCTTGAGCCACATCCCCAGCCCCTGACTTTTATGTATAATGCTGGTATAAATATTTGTGTACAAATTTTTGTGTATGTTTTCAATTCTCTTCAATAGACACTTAAAAACGAAGTGCTGCATTGTATGGTAAACCTAGACTCAACCTTTTAATTTTATTTTATTTTAGTTTTAGGTGGACACAATATCTTTATTTTATTTTTATTTTTTAGTTATAGGTGAACACAATATCTTATTTTTATGTGATGCTGAGGATCGCACCCAGTGCCTCACACATGCTAGGTGAGTGCGCTACCACTTGAGCCACATCCCCGGCCCCGAGGCTCAACTTTTTGAGGCTCTGCCTAGTTGTCCCCATAGCAGTTGCACCATTTTGCATTCCCATAAGCATTTCACATCTTTGCCAACACTTATTTTCCTCCCCACCCCCTTTTATTTAATTATAGTCATCCTGGTAAATGTGAAGTGGTATCTCATTGAGCTTCTGATTTATGTTTCCCTAATGACTAATAATGTTGAAATTTTTTCATGTACTTATTGGCTGGTAGGTTTCTTTCTTTCTTTTCTTTTTCTTTCTCTTTTTTTCTTTTTTTTCTTTCTTTTGCAGTGCTGGGGTGATGGAAMCCAGAGCCTCATGCATGCTATGCAAGTGCTCACTAAGCAACATCACTGACCACAGTTGGTTCTTCTTAGTCTTCAGGTTTCATCTTTTCAGAAAGAACTTTCCTAATAATTATCAAAATTATCAACAATACCCCCATTTCTTATGTTTTRTATTCCCTTTGTATCTTTCAGAGCACTGACCACATTTTGCTATGATTTGGTTGTTTGTGTACTTCACTTTGCCAAGCACAGTTTCTGGCACATAGTGGGGGGCTCAATAAATATTTATTCAATGTACAAATCCATCAGTGAGAACAGAGACATGGAAATCAAGCAATGTGGTTGCCAAATGGCAAGCAGTAAGAAACAGGAAGTTAATAGATGAAGCCAGAAAAGGAGCAGACCCAGAAAAAATAAAGGGTGGGCCTRGAGTCGGGTAGGATAATTCTCATGAACGCTGAGTTGAGTGTGGGAAGCAAGCTGAAATATAATGGGACAAATCTGGATGAAATATGCTCTTAGTCTTAAAACATGTGCATACCTTTTCACTTAGCAGTTCTATTCCTTGGAATGTATCCTGAGAAAAGAATGAGATGTGGAAAAATGTATGTCATGAAGATCCTTATTGTGGTATTCCCCCCTCRGAAAGTTGGAAACAACATAAATGCCCTCAATAGAGAATGCTTACATAATCCACCATGGTACCTCCATGTGGTGAAATACTGTGCTGCCACTGTCAACGAGAATATTGAGTAAAATGAATCAGATTTAGCTCAAATAGCCTTGGGAAGAAAGAAAACAGAAATCGGGATGGGAAATAGAAGTATGATTGAAAAAAAATTTTAAAGGGTGGGTGTTCAGAGACCCATCCGAAGGAAGATCCCTGGGAAAAGTTGAAAATGAGAACAAAGAGAAAAATTAGGAATCTGGACTCAGAAACTAGATAAACACAAGCTGAGTTAATGAAGAAAGTATCTACTTTTGCCCCATGTTTAGCCAAAATCAAAACCGGAAACCCAAATAAGAATGCCCTACCGCATCCAGACAGCCAGATGATTTATGAGCACCTAGTCTGTGCCAGGTACTCTTGGGCACTGGAAACATTCTATAACAAGTACATGGAGGTGAAGGAGATAAAAATTAGGTTGTCACTAATAATTAGTTGGTTACAAGTCTACAGAGTGTTGAGGACTTGTAATTAAGTATAGGAATGAGGAACTATAGTGTAACGGGAATATAACAGAATATAACAGATATACCTGAACACTGAGGGTAAGGAGACAACACTAAAGCCGAGACCTAAAGTGGCCACAGRAATGCTATGTTCTGAATGTTTGTATCCCCTGCCCAAATTCATAGGTTGAAATTCTAACCCAGAAAGGTGATAGTTTTAGGAAGTGGGTCATTTAGGAGGTGACTAAACCAAGAGAGTAGAGCCCTCGTGGATAGGATTAGTGCCCTTATAAAAGAGATTCCTGAGTTCCCCAAGTCTCTTCCACCACGTGAGGACATAGTGAGAAAGTACCTCTGTGAAAGAAGAATTGGACCCTCATTGACACGGAATCTGCCAGGGCCTTCACCTTGGATTCCCAGCCTTCATTCAGTACTATGAGAAAAGAAGTTTTGGTTGCTTGTAAGTTACCTAGTCAATGGCATTTTATTATAGCTGTCTGAAGAGACTAAGCTAAAAGGAATAATTATGCCAGGAAGTATTATAGGTGGTGGGAATTATGTTTGCAAAAGCCCTGAGGAGGCAGAAGGCCAATCTGACTGAGAAATGGAGTGGAGTTGGGGAAGAGTGTTATGCAAAGAGACTGGCAAGATAGACAGGAATCAGATCATGCAGGGTTTTGGAGGCCATGATAAGGACTGAGGATTTGGGACTTTATCTTAAGAGAAAGAGGATATCACTGAAAAGCAAATTTGAGGGCTGTTCATAGCTCATGGTAGAGAGCATGCTCCACATACTCAAGGCCATGAGTTCTATCACCAGCACCATAAGAAAAACATCTGTTTTTCTCTTATTGATGAATGACATGAGTCCCCTTTTTCCCAGAGAACCTTTTGGGGTATTCATCTAGCTTTTAATATTTGCTTTCAAGGTTGACCACAGTTTATGGGACCAGAAGTATCGGATTCTAAATTTCTAATAGGATCTTTTTTAAAAAAGTAGACTTTAAATAAAAAAATAAAAGTAGACTTTTATTAGAATAATTTTAGAGTTTAAGRTGGTTATGTCAAATGTTAACTTTTTTTTAAGTTGATAGATGATAATTATACAAATTTGTGAATGTCTTAGTTTGGATATGAGGTGTGCCCCCAAAAGTCCTGTGTTAATGATGCAGGAATGTTTGGAAGTGAAGTGACTGGRTTGTGAGTACTCTAACCTGTACAGTACATTCTAGTTTGAATGGACTGACTGGATTGTAACTGTAGTAGGTGGGGAGTAGCTGGAGGATGTGGGTCACTGGGGACATGCTCTGTGGCCCCTCCCCCTTTCTCCTGGCTTTCTGGCCATGAACAACAAAGCAGTGTTCCATCATGTTCTTCCACCATGATGTTCTGGCTTATCTTGGGCCCAGAACAATGGAATTGGTCTGCCATGGACCAAACTTCCAAAGCAGTGAGCCAAAATAAACTTTTCCTCCTCTAAGTTGTTCTTGTCAGGTATTTTGGTCACAGCACAAAAAGCTAACTAACAGTGGAGTATGGTGTGATGTTTTGATACATTTGTACACTGTGTATTGATCATCTCAAACATCTATCATTTCTCGTGATGAGAACATTCAAAATCCTCTTTTAGCTAATTTAAGTTATAT